TATTTTGTGGTCAAGTTGATGGCTGAATCAACATACATATAGAAATGACTTTCTTTTTTTTTTTTTTTTTTTTTAAATTCATTGATGAGAAGAAAAATATATAGTATTCTATATAATATATGCATACATGTATATATAAATTTTTATTAAATGTGCATGTGTGTATTAGTATACAGGGGCGCGTTCTGAGGGCTGATGCAATAAAGTTTTACGTTACATGTTACGTCAAAAAACGTATCATGCCGCTGAGCACTGACTCTACTCTTCGCAGTTTCTCTTTCTCTCTCGCTCCCTCTCTCGTTTTGCGCCGTCCGTTTTGTCCAGTAGATAAAACTATCATAAGGCGCGTGCAAAGCAAACAAAAACAGTAAGTAATGAAAATTGAATTGCATTCGCTGTGGTTAAATGCAATTATTGGTGTTGGTGTGGTTTTTTGTTGTTTTGAGGAATAACAAGTTGTTTTGATCATTGTTCAGGTCGGTTGCGAAGCGTGCTGTAAACAACAACAGCCCGAGACCGCAAATATATTTCATTGCCAGCGATTATGCACTTCGTTTCTGACTGGCTTCGATAACGATAAATCCCGTTGCGTGCACATTGCAAGATCTAACAAGCTAACGGCTTCAATTGAACACAGTAGTTAAAAATTAAGTTTTAATTGCCAGGCCGTCGTTGCTCCTTGTTGCCTTGGACAACAAACACCTGTCAGAAATTCAACAGCACCGGTTGTTGGGCGTCAAACTTTTCCCTTACCTTGGCAACTTGCTTTCCATTTATCGATTGACCTTGTTGCTGCATAAATTTGACCCAAGTCTTTTGCTTTTGGCTAGCTTAATTTCAGTCGTGTCAGGACAAAACTAGGCTCTATAATGGTCTCTGTACATATGTATACACACATGTGTACACACACACATACATATGTATGTATGTACGTTTGTATTGAATACAAATGATTTGTATTGGCCTTTGGTTTGCCACGCGTGTGTGACTAAGGTTCGATAATAGAATACGCCTATGTACATAATATAGCTCAGTTTAGTCACTTGGTAAATAATTGATGCACGTTGACGTCTATTTATTTCATTGTAATCGAGAAGTCGTTGTTTACATACATGTGTGCTTTGTATGTATGTATGTATATATGTATGGAATCATATTACTATATATTTAATATACGCCCACAACAAACAACTTGAAGTAGAGCAGGGCATGGCATGAAGGGGCTTACCCTAGCCTGTGAGGCACCGGCACAAGACTCAGACGAGGGCTTGGTTTTTTCCTCCAGTCAGCGACTAATCAGCTGCTAGACGAAAATAAAAAAATAATTAGGTGGCCAGACAGAAGGCCGTGCAATTGCTATATTTAATTTCATCACAGGGCGTGCAACTATTAATTGCACAAGCAAAAGATTTATATTTGCGATCTGTCTGACGGACTATAATTGATTTGTTTTCGATTAAACAAAAATGCAAGTTGTCAAGCGTTTTGTTTCTAACTGCATTTATTGCTGATTAACGGTTCACTAGTAGTTGCTGTGATCGCGTAAGAACATGTGCATATGTATAATACTCTCTCACTTACACTCGTTCACATATGCCGTTCACACGCGATTTTAGCTCCTTTGCCTGTTCTCATGCTCACACACGCAAGCACACATACACACATAGTTGACACATTTACAAAAGCGCATACATGTATGTATGTCTAATTGTATGTAAGACGGATGAGCTTAAAAGGGGAGCAACAAGAAGAGCCGTAGGTAACCCGCGCTCGCTCCTTATGAGTTTCATTGCATTGTTCTTGCTCTTGCTTTTGTTTTTGTTTTTGTTTTTGCTCTAGATCATGCGCTTTGGCTTATGGAAAGCACTTTGTGGAGAAAGAGAGAAGGAGATAGGCAACGTATAGCAACGTCAACAGTTTGCTGTTGGGCAAATAAACAACAAGAACGTCAACTGCAAGGCAATCCCCTCTCTGCTGGGGGCTATGCTGCACAGTGCAAACACGTCATTTGTGTGGTGTTGGTGTTGCTGCTGCTGTTGCTATCGCATTTTGACATTCGAACTGCGCTGTGCAGTGACGCCGACTGCAGCGTTGACGCTGACTGCAATTGCAGCCTGTTGTTTAAGTTTGTGGCTGACAAAACTACTCAAAAAGTGGCAGCGGCAAAAAGTTTTGCATGCGCTCGAAATGATTGCCCCGCCCCGCCCTGCACAACTCAATTGTAATTACAAAAGCGCTTATCGCTCTCTTTCTGTCGGCATCAGTTCGTTGCACTCGCAAATTAGCCATAAAGGAGTTTTGTAACCGCATTGTGTTCCACTTTCCCATGCTCCTCCGCCCACAGACATTAGTTTAATGACACCGATAACGTATTGTATTGTATGTATACGCATATTGCACGGTTACCGTTATCGGTTGGCGTGTAGGCTGACAGAGGCAGCGCAGCTCAAGACTATTACTTATTTATGGCAATTTGCCTGTCAGCACACCTAGTAGACCTGTATTTCCTAACCGCTGAAYTAGCTAGCTAGCTGAATGGCATGTGGTGCGGTGATTCCCACGCGAGGTCGCACCCAAAATTAGATGCGCCACCAGCACCGGCAACAACAACAACGACAGCCAAAAAGCAGTTGATAATCAAATTGAAACGCGCCTTTTTGCAATGCTCTATTTAATTGGCCTTCTCGATTGCATTTTCAGTTGATCTATTCGCTCATCGGCGGTCGCAATTATGGTGGAATTCCGTTTCGATATTAAGCCGCTGTTTCCGCAGCCAATTATCAAAGTGGCATCGAATCTACTGCCGCACACCTTTCGAGGGGATCGGCGTCAGTGCTTGTGAGTATTGAAACTGTACGCGGGCGGTATACCCAATTCGAGTCGTAAGTCAATTAACCGTTACGCTTTCCACACTCACGCCCACAGAGATGCCACCTCAAAGATGTCCGAGATAATTGATCGATTAGGTCAGTTGTCGGCCATATCGCAGGGCCTGAACAAGCCAGTAACAACGGCTCAACGCCTGCGTATGTCGGAGAACCAGACCATTTATCTATTAGCGGACACTGAGGCAGGCCACAAGTAAGTCGACTTATCAACTCTTATCATTATCCATGATTATTATCTATACTGGAATCTGCTCTTCGTATAGCGGCGCTGTCATTGGCCTGCTCAAGGTAGGCACTAAAGATCTCTACTTGTTCGACGAGAAGGGTCAGACTCGCAAGATGGAGCAGTCGCCCTCAATCCTGGACTTTTACGTGCACGAGTCACGTCAGCGTGCAGGATTGGGCAAGCGTCTGTTCGAGACCATGTTGAATGAGGAGCACTGGACACCAGTGAAGTGCTCCGTCGATCGGCCGTCCGAGAAGTTGCTCGGATTTCTGAGAAAGCACTACGGCCTGGTACGCACCATACCCCAGGCGAATAATTTCGTACTCTATGAGGGATTTTTCGGGGACGAAGCTAGTCAGAATGGCTCACGGAATGGACATGCCGCATCGCCGGAGCGCACCAAGAATGGGCTGCACATTACAAACAGGTGAGCTCAATGGGGGCGGTGCAGGGCACTGCAGGGCAGGGCAGTGGGTTAATTGAGGCATTGCGCCTTGCAGGAAACATTTCCGTTGGCTTTGTTGCCCATTTCTTGGCCAACAACATTTGCATATCGCACGCAAACATCCGACTCAACAATTCACCCAATTGTTTGTGTGCCGGTTTCATTAGTGGGCGTCTGCGATAAAATTGATCGCCTGCGGAAAAGCATTTATCGATAAATAAGCCTTACAAAACAATTGTATGCAATCTATTAACGGTGGCTTGTTGCTTGCGCTTTCACTAGACAAAACTAGTTATATACGTATATACATTTAAGTCTGTTCCTATCTATATCTATATCTTGGTTATATGTATATGATATGTTTCGCACAACTTGAGATAGTGTGAAGTCGTTTTGATTGAATGAGTGAAATGAAAACATTAATATATCTATTAAATTAGAAAAATAATAATAATAAAAAAATAAATGTAAATGCAAAATAATAAATAGAAAATTGGAAGCAGAACATGAAAATTAAATTGATTGATTGATTATAAATGCCAGAGAAATTTAGTGCGATTTGAAAATCAAATTTTCGCTTCAATTATTCAAACAATCAGGCAATATAACGTCAAGTTTACCTTTCTTTCATTATTATTAATATTTATATGAGTTTATCACGAGATTTTTATTAATTCATATTTATATCAGTTGAGCACGATATTCAGCTATCAAGTTGAGCGAAACGTATTAAAAGTAACTAATTATAATTGTAATAATATGCATATGTAATTAAGTAAATATACTAAATATTAATTATTTTCAATTCACATGTTGCGCCTGCCTACTAACGTTAATCAACAACAACAACAAAAACATCAACAAACAAATAAACAACTATCAAATACATCAACCAACCCATCCATACATCAATCAAGTCCTAACACACAACTCTTTGGGGCCACTTACTTGGGCGACGAGACGTCTAAGCAAAAGCGTTTCGGTAGGCGTGGCAGCGAGTCGCAGCAACACCACCAACAGCAGCAACAGCAGCAGGCGGCACTGCTGCAGCAAATAACACAGATCTCACCCAATGGACGTTACGGCGCACCGCGACCCACATGCAGCATGGCCGAGGTACTCAAATATTCAAACACTTTTCTCACCTTTCAAGCTTAACAGTTATAAGTGGACTTTGAGTGCGCCACAGAGCCACCTTTTGCTTCAATTGTTTTTTGTTGTTTTGAATTTTCTTTTTTGTATGCCAAAGAGTAAAAATCATTTGGATCGTAGTAGGCCTCGTTCGGTTTCTGTTTGCCACTGAATTGAAATGTTCGTTAGGGTTTAGTTAACATTTCTACTTCACACGATTCACAACGAATTTTTGTTTTAATTTCTGAACAAATCATAAAAATTATTTCGATTAGCGTCATTTTAAAATATCAGAGAAAAACTGAAAGAAAAATTTTTTTCTACGCTCGCGTAATTTTTGTGTGCTTTTTATCGTGCGAATTTTATAATTGAATTGAAATTGAAAAGGATTTGATATGGATCAAAAGCGTGGAAATGCTCGCCAAGGCGCCTCCAGGACGAGCGTTGCCGTAAGTTGATATTGCAGGGGTGTTTCGAGTGTTTTGCATCTAGCTCAACTTTGACTTGCAGTCGCGACATGCTGCTGGTATGCCGGCCAATGCTACTAACGTGGCACGCAAATACGGCAGCGAGGTCAGCCTAACGCCCAGCCAGGCCAGGCAGAACGTGGAAAATGTAAGCTGCTGCCACAGCAATTAGATTCTGAGTTGTAGTCAAATTAAAGAGAAACCTCTAATAATAGCCACGCAAGAGTCCATTGGATGCTTTGAGTCGCATGAATTATCGCCAGGATCCGTTCCAGCGCCGTTCAGGCTTACAGGATGTGGACGATTCGTTCTTGGCTTCGAACGCTTTTGCACGTCCCTCACGCTTACGTCACTCGGGTCTGGAAGCCAGTAATGTGCCTGTGGCCGGCACCCAGCAGCCGGCTGCCAATGCTGCTGTCGCACCCATACGTGTCGCCTCTGGCCAAGAGCCGCTGCAGTCTCAGGTGCAATACCAGCAACAGCAGCCACCTCTAATGCAGCAGCCGCAGCAGCAGCTGCCGCCACAGGCTGCTCAGACACCACAGCAGGCTGTCGGCAATATTGCTCCGRCACAAGTACAAATGCAACAGCAGCAGCAGCAGCCGCCTGCAGCGGTGCCACAGCAACAGCAGCCATTGGCTCCAGCAACAGTTGTGACCGCACAGCAGCCACAGCAATCGATGCCGCAACAGCAGAATCAACAGGCGCCGCAATATGTGCAGCCACCGGCAGCTGGTCAACCCACTCGCCACGATCCCTATCCAACTGGACGAGCCCATGTGCAGCATCAGCAGCAACCGGATGTGCAGCAGCAGCAGCAGATGGTGCAGCAGGATGCAAAGGGACAAGGTCAAGCTCAAGCACAGATGCAGCAGCAGCAGCAGCCAATGCAACAGCAGCAGCAGCCACCGGCACAGATGTCGCCACGTAAATACCAACAGATGCAACAGCAACAGCAGCAGCAGCAGCAGCAGCAACAGGGCTACGTAAATTGATGTTGCATAGAAACTGCTCGTAAACTGAACTGATAAACCACCTATTCCCACAGTCTTCTCAGGCGGCTAATGCTGTGCCGCCGGCTGCTGAGATGTGCACCACATGCCCCAATTGCCAGACAACCATTTACCTGGTGCGCACACCTGAGCTGGGCCATGGCGACGCTGGTATGCCAATGCAATAATGACCAACAAGCAGGAACAACCCATAAGAAATAACCAAATTCGATATCATCTGCGAAGTCTAAAAATCAAAAATGGAAAATTGAATTCTTGTGTGATCTTTGGCATACGAAATTCAATTTGAGGAAATTTAGATGCGATTGCGTGTGAGTGTGTTGACTCACAATGCATCCAAATTTGAAGTTAACCAAGTGCCAAAATGAACAAGCAACAACTAGCAAAGACACAACATATATACATATATACATAGCTATACAAAATTCCCTGTTCACCTTTTCCGACCAAGTCTGCCCAAGTCGAAAGATGAATAACAACTTTTTTTTGCTAGAACAGCTAAAGCTTCCATGCTCTGACTCGAAATTTCATTGTAAATAAACTACAGATTTTATTTCATACAAATTCCGAAAAATCTTTTGGGGTTGGCCATTTTATTTTTGTGGGTCAACCCCTAAAAAGAAGCAGTTATTTTGGCTGCGTGCCAAGGGGCTGTTTTAAGGGCGACTCGTGTAGAAAATAAAACTTCGCTTGACACTTGTGCTAGATTCAAGGCGTTAGCTGCGGTGGAGGAGACGGGCTGTCCACTAAAACTATATAATATGAAAGCTTTTTGTTTTCCTTTATTTAAATGCGTGTATGTGTGAGTGACTATTTACAAAGGTATTCTTGCTAAGCTAAATGAATTTAGTTTAATCGAGCTATTTAATTTGCATTTGGTTTTTGGTTTGGCTATATAATATAATACTACCCCTAATGTTTCAGTAAGCAGATATGACCCAGTTCTCTATTGTGTTTGTCTCTAATATATTTCGTTCTCATCTCTTTGTTGCGCAGATAATTCATGCTGGCAGCGCTAGTTCCGGCAAGGGCGGCGGTGGAGGCAGCGCAGAGTCTAACAGGTAAAGCCGATTGGCTCACCTTTCTCCATATTTCTTAACTAACACTTGTCGAGTATATGTTTGTTCGTTTTTGTTTGATCTGTGTTTCATTTTTGGTTTCACTTACTTTTCTTTTGTTATCTTTCAGAATCAAATAATTACGCATACGCACCAGTGGCTGCATTACATACAAAACAAAACAATATAATGTTAACTAAACAATTGTACAAAGCTCTTATTTGTTTATAGAAAATTATTTATAATTTTGCCTTATCATATAGTTAATATTAACGAAGAGGAAAGGAGGCTGCACTCGCCGCACACCCACATCACTAAGACACATATCACACACGCTCACATTGGTTCGATCGCTCGACCGTTACACACAAAATACCTGATAATTGTGATTACATTTATGTAAATTTTTTTTATTTTAACATTTACTCCTTCGATTTTCGCAATTTTTTATACTTTATTTATTTTCATTTGCCGTGCAATAAAATCAACATGAATTCAAATTCAAATTTTATTTAGTACCTCGAGTAGTATGTTATTTAACAGCCTCTGTTAACTTTCCCAACAGAGGCAACGAGATTGCAGACATTGCTGAACAATTGCAAATGCAGCATTTGCAGACGGTCGAAAATCATATCGAATACGAATTGGAGCAGGAGCAGGAGCCAGAACCGGAGCCTGAGCCAGAGCCTGAGCCAGAGGAGGTGATCACTCCACCAACACCACCTCCCAAGAGTAAAACCCCGACTCCACCTAAAGTGCGCTCGCCAGAGGCTGCCGAGAGCATTATTGGGGATAATCGTAGGGCACCAGCATTTCAGTTGAGCAAGCAGCACACTGGCATGAAGAATCGCTCTTTTGGCGTGGGCATGGCCGTTATGCCTACCGGCAAGATGGAGTTCAATCAAGAGGAGCGCGAAGATTTTGGTGTAGTGAAGATCAATCGTCCTCTGGGCAATGAAATCACTTCGCCCGTCCAGGACAACACAGATGCCATGTCTACAGTGTCATCAACTGGCGGCTTGACCGATCAGGGCTATAACGATCTAAAATTCTATCACAATAAATTGTGGTAAACTCGTCTACACGAAATATCAGTCAGCATAGATTTGCAAGCAATATTTGCTAATATGTTTACATTTTTTGTACGTGTCATAAAAACATAAAATATGCATACCAATTAATAAGCAAATAACATTTAAGATATATTTATTAACAAATACTAGATACAGACACAAACGGTTCCTCCTTGTTTTAGTTCACTTTTGTTGTTCGCTTGTAATGCTCTTTAGTTCTCTGTTAATTAGTTCATTTGTTACACCCTCGCACTCAACAGCGCAGTTAAATGTTAGTCCAGCATCAATTACAGTCTGTAGTTCAATTTAGTTAACAGCAGTCACATGCATAACATAGTATATTAGTGAATACTTTTGATAATCACAAGCTGTGCGTATCTTCCATTGCAGCAAACGCGATTATTACGAGCAAATTTATAGCGAATATATGCTATAAGTGGCCCTAACATACTTAAAATATCAATTTTCTTGAACCAATTAATATGTACTCTGTAATACCTAGTTAAGTAAATGCAATAGTCCAAAATAAATAAAATAAACTTTCAAGTTCTATTTATACGCCAAGCCACAATACGCTTGGTCTTTTTGCATTTAATCTGCTATACAAACACACACACATATACAAATGAAATGGAAATCATCTCCTGGCGACGCGCTCAGCTGAGGTGCATTAAATTTTTTAAAGTAGAGCTATCGTTGGTGATGCAGCCTATCTAGGGAAAAGTGGGGGTCTTCGCCTCTGCTTCACATATAGATAAAGTTGAATCTGTAATGAAGATTAAAAATATGTTAAAAATAAATAGAGAAATGAAGAAAGGATCCCTGCCAATACGATTCTTACCTGCACAACGCCTGCGGCAGCGATGATATAATGGGTCCATAGCCTTGTGAATTGTCGTACAACTCGAATAGGGGCGCCGCAACAAGCTTATAATTTTTGGGCACAGCAAATAGTGCTAGATTACAGAAAACGATAGAGACAGAATTTATGTATGTAGAAGAGACCATTAGATATAACAAGGGTTGTAAATCACATGATTATTGAAATAACTAAATAATTACAATTGGTTATACAAAACAATTTACAGATTCGCTGCCATAATTAAGTATGATATATAAAAGTTTGTATTGGTTTTTGTGGTAGTTTTCATTTGTTTTTGTTTGTTTTTACATTCATTTATAGTTCGTTAAGCTAATTTACCAGACTTCGTTATTGATGCACCAAATAAATCATATAATTTGATAAACATGAATTTTATAGCATTTTGTGCATTAAACAAAGTCTAGTAGATATGAACATAATTTCAATTACCATTAAAAGCAACATACATTATACAGGGTGCGAGTGTTGCACAATGGATGATGTCAAGGAAATACTATAAACACAGAGTTATTAAATTGTTACATAAACGAGTGCTTAAAAATTATTTAAGGAGCGGGTAACGACTGCCTGCCTAGTCCAGTTGCATTTGCAATGCACTCAAATCAGCACAACACGCGAGATTTGTGCGCATTAACAGACGACAACCGGCAACTTTTACAATGCACTTCTCAACTAAACTATTTACTGCCTGCCCGATTACAATAGAACGGCTCAACACATAACAATCCAAAAGAATAAACAAATTAGATAGAGTATCGTGTGTAGGATTGCGCTCTCTGGTTTACAGAAATGTCGACATATTTACAAAATTAATACAACATGAACAATCAAAGAATTTTGGGATATGCGCAAAATATGCCAACAACTCTAGAGAGCAACAAATACAATTTGAAGTAAAAATTTTGTACAAAAAGTTTTGAACTAGAATCGACGAACTAATTAAAATTGTATGCGCCTCGGGGCCATTATGCGATCTGTTTCTGATTCTTTTCATTTCTGTTTGTTTTGGACTCTTGAGAGTAGAGCGTTGAGGAAGAGCTCTATGCTTGGTTGGGCAGATGCCAGATGCGTGAGATTACACAACACAACACGGCGCTATTATGGAACAGCTCAGGGTACATCGTAACTGGCGTTCCTGTCCGTATCTAAACAGCATTGAAAAGATATGACATGAGGTTTGTTAGCGTATCGGTTTGGCAAAAACTTTATACAAGGTTATATGTATAATATATATAAATGTACTTGTCTTTTTTTTTTTTTTGCCATCATTAATACCTACGCTGCGAAAAACACCATTGGCTAGCGGATTGGATATTTACCCTTTTCGTGTAGCTGCACCAGGAACAGTCGCTTGTGTTCCTTTGGTTTGGTTATGTGTGGTGGAATGTATGGATATTGCGGAGGCTCGAAATTGGGGCGCCACCAATTGCCAATCGTATCCTCAACAATCCAATCCTGCTTAACACCATCTTGACGACCCAGCGTCTGCAAAGCATATTACATTATTATTGATATGTTTATAGGCTAATTTTTTTTTTACCAACGTACCTCAGAAAGCAATCGTTTGAGACCCTCAACCTCATCCTCGCCGGCATTCAACTCACCACCTGGCAGCTTGAAAAATGTGGTGCCGAGCTGCAGCAAGAGTACATGAGGTAAACCATGCTCGTGCACTAAGAGCACACCTTCTACAGAGCGACGCATGCCAATTCGATCGAATTCTTCTCTCATACGTTGAAAACGTGACGGCACAGATGGATCTTTCTCAAAGAGCGGCTCCTTGGTACCGAATGTGTAATTCGTTAATGGGTAACTAAAGGGTTGAACAAATGTATGTGAGATTTTTCCTCTATACAACTGGATTATGGCACTACTTACAGATTGATTGTGCGATTTATGGTTAATGCCTGATTCGGTGCATATTTTTGTGTACCATTGTTGCTAATGCTGGCATCCGCTTGGCCTTGGCTACCGCGCCGGGGCCAGCCGGAGCCCGATTTGTTTGAGACTTGCGAGGACGCCATCTTGTTATACACACCACACAATGCCGCAATGGCAATAGAAAAATTTACTAGTTCGGCGCCAAATCTCAATTAGTCAACCCTTATCTATTTTGCACACTACGGCACTTCGAATAGTTTTCCAATTAATTCGTTTGTTTTCTAACACTTTGATGTTTGGATGTGTTAATTTTTAGCTTTTACTTCTGCTTTTCGATTGCAAAAAATATCCACACCGGCAGAGAATGCAGAATATACCAAAGACAGGTACACACTGAAATTTCTATAATGCGCCGGCATTGGGTACACTGTTTGATAGCGAATGGCATATTTTTTAACTATCTGGCAGCACGAAATATACACATTACAGGTGACTGGTCACTCTGGATACATTTACATTAGTTTTTTGTTTATGTTGGGAAGTCGTCGGAAAATTCGGCTATTTTGTGTGTGTGCCGCAATGAAAAGCTGCTAAAAAGCTAAATATAAAAATCAGCGCAGCGCGCGGCCGTCTGTCGTTGCATTGTTTTCTAAGTGCAGTCAGTAGGCAGCAGCAATTGATGAGGAAAAATTATGTGAAGCAGAAACGCAGTTTTTGTTTGTGTGTATGTGTATGTACATTGTGTGCTTCTGTATGTGTATTGTGCAATGAAACTGGAAAACCATTATTATTAATGAAAACGCGTGAAATGTGTAAGTGTAATAATAAAAAATGAAAATACAGATGCGCTTCTTTTGAACTTTTACCATTTACTTGATTTCTTTTTGTTAAACGTTCCCCCCACTCTTTCGCAGACAACGAGAACAACAACGACAACGACCAACTCCTCCCACTTGTACGTGTTGTAGGGGTGAAGGGAGTTTGACTGCTGTGTCTGTGCGCTAGTGTGTGTGCGTGTGTGTTACTGCGTGCACGATAAGGCTTGTATTTGCGGGCAATATATAATTGAATATATATGCAGAGTAAATGTCAAAGAAGACAACGCGTAATATGCACACACATTAATAAGAGCAAAAGGTCAAAAGTTAAGCTGAAAACAGGACCAAGACACCGTAATGTTTTAAGTCAGCGACAGCAATAAGAGAGCGAGAGAGAGAGAGAGAGAGAAAGAGAACGAGCGCATGTTGGTGTGAGTGTATACGATAAGAACAAAGAGAAGAGCGAAGAGCACGAAAAACCCGTCTAAGAAACAGCAGCAGAGGAGGGCAAAACAAAAGACTGCTTAAAACTAATAAACAAACAAAAGTAACTCAAATAATAACAACCACAAAATAAATACAAACCGAAAATGTCGGCCGCGGAGCTTGAGACTGAAAGTTCCGCACAGGAGCAGCAATCGAAACAACCACAACAACAACAACAAGAACAACAACATAACGAACATACAAGCAACAATAACAGCACTGCCAATGATGCTGAAGCCAATACCTTTGGCATAGACCTAGAAGAAACCATTGAGACTATGACATCAAGCAACAACTACAGCATTGATATGGAGCAACAACAGCTGCAGCATAATAATATGCAGCAGCATGCGCAAATGCAACAGCAGCARCAACAACATGCACAACATGCACAGCAGGAGCAAGAACAACAGCTAGAGCAACAGGGCGATATGGGGTTGGGGATGACACTGATGCAATCATCGCCACCACCACACAGCTATCGACACTCACGAGCCTATCGCCACTTCAAGAACCCGCCGCAGCCCCACATGTGTATTCGCACCACCACTGAAACTGGCGAGGAGTTGTTTATCAATGTGCTAAGTTGGACACGTATTGTCATACCACAGGAGCCCAGTGATCCAATACCTTTGTATGGAGGCATGCGCGTAAGTACAAGCTACAACGAAAATCTTCTACAGGTCTTTAATGATTTTGTTTTAATAGGTGCCGCCTGGCAGCCCGCGCAGTCCACCAATTGTGTTTGCCGTTATGGCGAATCCTGAAGTGCTCAAAGACTCTGGACGTCATAGCAAGGATCCAGAGGAACGACGCGCTATGGTAGAGCTAATGTGCGACTTTGTGGAGGCTATGAATCCTGGCGTGAAACTAGTCAGGTGCGTATAGCGTTGCTTTTCCATTTGAGGACTTAAAATAAAATTCATTTATTACAGAAACGCCGTCATACTCAAGGATCGTGACATTTCGGGCGAGCTTAAGGATGTCTGGAATGCTGTGCAGGCGCAGCGGGACCGTGAGCGTGAAGAGCAAATGTTACAGCAGCGCCAACAGCAGCACTATCAAAACATCACTACGCAACAAATGTTTCCCAAGTCACCGGATGCAATGCGTGCTGGAAGCGCTGCTCAGTCAAATGCATCGGAGATCGGCTTGCCCCCAGCATATAATGCCGATCTTATGACGACTGATCATGGGAATGGCATTACACTGGCCGTATTTGCCCAGCAGTTGGATAACAAGGTAGCCAGTGAACAGTCGGATGAGCAGCAGCAGCAAGAGCAACAAGCGGGTAGCAACGAGTCAACGCCTGGCGATTCTTGCGGTGATCAAACGGATGCGGGTGTCGTTGTTAATGGCAACAGCGGATCTCCATCTGCTTCAGAGTCTCTATCAACAGTCGAGCAAGTGACACAAGAGCCAGAGAGCAGATCTGCTAATACGACTACCAGCAATGGTTGTAGTACTCCAACAAACTTGACAACAGCTCCAACGCCAAACGCTGCTGCTGTTCAGCCCACAGCTACACCTACGCCCACGCCCACGCCTCCCGCAACCACGCCACCTCCAGCAGCGCCAGTAAAGAAGGAGAAGCTTGGTGGCTTCTTGCCCAACGGTTGCATATTCCCGCGCTTCAAGAACAACAAACACAAGGATAAGGATGGCAATCACAAGGAGAGCAAGAGCAAAGAGAAGACTCTGCTGAATGCGCTGAAGAAAAGTAAGGAGAAGAAGGTGGCACCCAGCGAGCAAGCACCCAGTGACAAAACAGCCACGGACAATGGCACCACACAGTACGAGAAGAACTGCATCAACAATCTCGAGTGCGAGGTGCAGAAACTCGACCTGAATAGCAGCAACAACGACAACAATATGTTCATCAAGCTGAAAGTGGCGCCCAGTGCAGCATCGGCAGCGGCTGCTGTGGCCAAGTAGTTAAGTATATCTGATAACAATGATCACATAAAGTTTCATAAGTAGGAAGAGTAAAGGATATCCGAGTAAACAGGCACGATACGAGTAATGAGTAGAGAGAGAACTACCTTTCGGGTAGCACTAGCACTTCACTAGCACCTAGGAGTATTTAGAGTCGTGGACATTTAATATATACAAGATTTACATAAATCATACATACACATACATATATATATATATATATGTATACAAAGTACGTTTATATATGAATATATATATACAATATATACCGTTGTATCAGTCAATTTTTGAAGGCAAATCGACAGACTCTCAGTGTAATAATATCTGAAAAAGAAAAATATAATATTGTGCCATGCTCCATTCATACTCAAATACATATATGTACATATATATACATATCTATATGTATGTATATATATGTAGCGCCCAATTTGTCTGGGTTTGTCATCCACAGTTTCTCCATAATTCTTCCCCGGCATACGTAAAGATTAACAAATATAAAAATCAAGTATTTATATAGTTCAATATTTGTATGTTTCGCATACAGTTTGCCTTATATACAAACCAAATGAGAGAGAAACGGAAAATAAAAGCAAATAAGTAAAATAGAGAACTTAAATATTAGGTCATCAAACCAATCAATGGCAATCGTAAAAAGAAACTCATGCGCCAAATTATCATCAGAAATATGTAGACAAGAGAAAATCACACGCACACACACAGCAATGGACATTGCACGAAAACACCTATCATCCACTAGTTATTAGACTAGCGAGGGCCTATTGATACAATAGAAAATAGAACCCAGCTGTACAAGTATTACGCATTCATTTTTCCTATACCACTCTGCTCAAATGATCTCCAAGTTTTATTTTTTCGGTTCTTTGAAGTTTGAACTCGTGTGAACGACGACGCAGGCTCTATAAAGTACCTTTTTGTGACCTTGCATTATCACTATTATCCATATGAGATGCTATATATTGTTTTCTATTTCTAAATGCTTCGTTTTGCCTTATTTCAATATCAACTAAAGTTAATTACTTCAGTAGTCAAAGAACAGTTCCAAATTACTTGAGTAATGCAAATCAAATGACCTGAAAGAAAAAGTACTCATATGATAAACATCTATTCTATTCTATATTGTTATTGTATTGTTTATTTAAAGTTGGTTTTTCCATTTTCTAATCACATGTCGTTCGCACTAATTGAGCAGAACTTCAAGAGCTCTCGATATATTTATATACTTAAACCACAAAAATGCAGTGAAAATTAAATAGAACTTAATGTGCAAAAGAGAAAATTCAATATTGGACTGAACAAAGCTGCCATATATAAATCACATACATATGTACAAGCATATATATCCATATATATATATGTATATAAGTATATATATATACACACAAGGCATATAGGCGAGTATACGAGTACATATGTGTGCATTTGTAATGTTYGCTTTTCATTTAAAACGAAAATTCAATTGTGATTCATTTGAAAATCAAATTTTTGTTTTTAACATCGAAACTATTTTCAACATAATTACAAAACAAATATATATATATATTTATTATACTGAAAATCGAATAAACAAATCAATTAACTTTGGTCAGCCGAAGTTTTGATACTCTTGCAAAATCTAAAGGGAATATCTTTTAAAAAAAATTAACGAAACAAAATTTAAACTATTTTAAAAAAAATTTGGCTTTTACGTTCGTCTCATTAAATATTACTTTTTGCGAGAGTACTATACAAATTTGATTTATTTTAAAATATATTTTATGCAACGCCCAAAAGCATGCTATAAAATACTTTGAGTCTCAGTTTAGAGATTTGTTTTGTTTTCGTTGTTCTCTCTAAAATGCATTTCGCCAGCCTTCAGTGCCATAGAAAAAATGGCATTGCATTTATAGAAAAGAAGAACAAAAATATTTAAAATCAAAAGTACGTTTTTATAATAATTACAAAATTGTGTTTGTAACTTGAAATGAAAATAATAAAAAACTAAAGCATTGATTAATCGATTTATTAATTAAATAATTTAATTAAATTAAAACTTAGTTTTAGCTGGTTGTCGAAAAAAAAAAAAAACAACAGAAAGAAAACGAAAATATTAAAAATTATTGATTCGAATGCTTATAAAAAAACCTAATTTAAGTTCAAAAAAGCAATAATTTTACTTGAAAAGCAGCAAAAAATAAATAAAATAAAAAACCACAACAAAAATACAAAATGTAAATGTAAAGAACGTATAACAACAACAACAAAAACAACAACTAATGTGTTAAGATTAACAACAAATAAAATTATACAAGTGGACGGTTTAAAACAACAATTTAAGCAAACAAAAACAACCAAACCACATTTTATATATATGTATATGTAACAATAAAATCAAGAAAACAGAACGTATTTGAGAATTGTAATAGCTGCTGGATTTATTTAATATATCATTGAATAAATATCTAGAGTTAGGCTATTTTCTATGTGAGTATTAGCTACGTCAAGGAGCACTCTATTCGTCCTTGTTGTTGATGGCGCGCAGGCGTTCGAGCTCCTCGCGTTCCGCCTTGTTGCGCAACAGCGGCACGTTGTAGTCGAAGGCGTAGAAGAAGCCCTTGGGCTCGCCCGTCTCCTCTGGTCCGGGCACATAGGGCTTCTCGTCGTGCACGTACTCGCGAGTCTCTGCCTCGCTGGGCTGGTAGGCGCCCTCGCCCGTCTGGTATTCGGGAGCAAACGGATCGGGATTGTGGCCAGCGGCAGCGGCCAGCTCACCCCACAGTCTGAAGTGCTCCTCCTCGGCCTTCAGCACGGCGGGTGTCTTGGTTGCTGGCAGCTTCAAATGCGCCGGGCGGTTGTCCTCAACATGGAAGCCAGTTTTGTCCGCATAGTACTTGGCAATGAAATCGCGACCATGTGGCTGCACATACTTGTAGGAGCCAGTGACGGTGCCAGCATCATCGCGTTTCTCGTTCTTGCCCTGATTCCAGTCCTTGTAGCCATACACATACTGTCCCAGACCATCCTGGCCATGGTACTGATGCGCATCGTAGTGCTCCTCCACATAATCCTCGGGATGTTCAATCACACGACCCATATACACGAATTCTCCCTTCTCGTTGCGTGCCTCGGGCAGGGGATTTTCCCCAGTCTTGGGCGCATATTCGATCTCATTAACGCCTCGCAGTTGAGCGCTGTTCAGATACTGTTGCGCCTCCTCTGGCGTGATGTTAATCTTAAAGATGTTCTCGGCGCTGGCGCAGCTCACCTATAAGAAGAAACCCGAAAAGTTAAGAATTAATGGCTTATAAAATGTGCCACGCTTCACAGCTTTTTGATAAACTTCAATCTTGATGATGACGATGATGATGATGATCATGATGATGATGTCATTTGGTCAACTTCCTCGGAACGTGTAACACAATTTGCACATCTATAAATGATACGCGTGGCAAATAGACGTCAGAGACATTTATATTTGCACATTTGACATTTTTACAACCCGGACTTCTAATTGAGTAGATCCATAGATGTCGCATTATTTATCCAAAGCTCATAACTTGTTGCCAATTCATATGCATAATGATAAAACACTAACACGATTCATATTTTGGGCTACTAACCAGCAAAAAGGCGGCTAATATAAAGCACTTCATTGCGAAACTTGATTATCACTTGATATATATATATGTCTATATATATGGTATATATAGTGTCTATTTTATTGCTTAACAAACACTGTTCTGGATGCTGCTGCTGTTGCTTGAACTGTTGTCGATCTACTAATAACTAAATAACTTTAGCGCAAGGCTTTTATACTAACTCTGCTTCGCAGTTTGTTGTTTTCCGTTTTATTTTTTCTTTATACAATACATTTTGTTGTTTTGCATAAAATTAACAAATGAACGTTGAATGAAGATGTGCTCGTCGCTTCTGTCCGGTTTCTTACTCAGCGTCAGCATCAGCATCAGCATCGGCATCGGCATCAACAACAATTTGAAGTTCATCTTAGCTGAAAATTCACACTTCTCACGCGTTGCTTCTGCTGTTCTGTGTCTGCTTTGCTCACATCATTAATTGTATGTATGCGAGCATCCAAATGCTCAATTAGTTATTAAATAATATTTATTTTACAATTTTTTTTTTTTATTATCATCTTTCTCTTTTGGTTGTTGTTGCCGTTGTTGTAGTTCATAGAATATTTGTTTTGTAAGCGCACCCGCAAGTGTCTATCGTAGTTTAAGTGGCATTTTGGCTAGCTCGACGGCTGTCAGTTATCTCATTGATCTCTGACTGATACCCTATAAAGAATGTGGCATAGGGTAGTATATACTGGCTTCGAGAAGATTCCGCAATTTGATAGGTAGTTTTATATCCGCAATATGATATAAAAGTATACGAGAATCTCTAAAATAATTTTATAATTATTTATTATATTACTTGTTCAAGAATTATATCAAATTGAGCTGCTAAATATGAATTCCTTAAATTTGTTTCCCAAGGTTGTGCTTAAAGCTTTCACGTTACTTGAATCAGCATGTACGAAGAGCTGAACAAGATCACCAGCTAAGATTACTGGAAGTGGGATTCAAGGATTGGGAGAAATAAGTGTATGATACCGATCAGATATCATATACTTGTTTTTCCTGTTTTACTTTAAATACGACAATATTTATAAAAAAAAAAAAGAATTTTTTGAAACAACCMGAAGATTCGCGAAGATCACATATTATTTTATATTAATGTTACACATGCTATAATATTTAATTTGTGTTATGAATACATCATATTTGATCGTAAGTATAATTCAAGTATAGCAGAACGAGTTCTTTGGGATTTTCCCTCACACGCAACAATATCTGAGTTAAGCACATGTTCATAAACGCTTTTCTAAGTTACTAGCTTTATATAAGTTCTAGGTAAGCAAATTAGAGTAAAATATGTGGGCTATTTTAAATCTTGTGGTTACGATACGTTAGGTCTAACATATTCTGAGCCGATAATATACTAAATTTGGCTCATATCATATCAAATAATCTTACTTAGTGACAGGCATCTAAAACCTGTTCATCTGTTAAGGAAATATCAATTGGATATGAAATAGCTTTTTGGGCATTGGGTATACGCGTGGCCAACCACGTTTGCGTTTGCTATATGCTGGCAATGATTTATTTTTTATTAAATAATTTTTGAGTACTTCCATCAATTTTTTTCACTTCTAATTAATGCAAAATGTACAGCTTTAGCTTTAGCTCTAGGGGTTCGGGTTTCCTGTAGAAACGATCAGCGGAAGCTCAGGCAGACGAGCACTTTACTTGTCTCTGCTACAGATGAACATATATGTGTGTATGTATGCATAATTAATCGTATCTTTTCCCAGATGCGCTATCAAATGTCAATTCGAGTGGCAATTCAAGCAATGAGAGCTGCTTGACTGTGATTCCGCAAGTTTGTTGCCTAAGTCTTTTGACTTAAATTCTGTTGGCTTTTTTTTTTTGGATTTGTAAGTCGTGCAAGGGCTCAGCTTTGAGCTGTCCACAACAAACTGCGCAGTTTCTCAATTACAATTACAATTACAATTACAGAAATGATATTGCTATTTAAATAATAGGTAAGAAGCACGCCTCAAGCATTTGAAGCTGACCGTTAAAACAAATTTTCATTTCCCACCCAGACAGCGGGGCTCTACGTAATTTATACCAAAACAAATATCAATATTATATATGTATGTTATGTATATATTTCATTATGCAACTTATTGACCATTAATAATATTAAAACGTATTTTTAGCTTATGTTATTTTTTATCGCTGTTCATAGACGCAAATGGCGATTTTTTTACTTTTACGTTCTGCTGACTGAATTTCATTAGCTGAAAAGAATACAAAAGATATACAGATTCAAAAACAAACTATGGGAGCACTAATTAGGAATGATAGACTGGGAAATACCCTCATCATTTGCAGACTTGCTGTGTCAATCAAGCATTGGTGGTTCTTTAGATTTTTTTTCAAGGAACTGCTGCTTGTATATCATAATCTCTAACTTTAATAATGTTTATTATTTATATAGTATATTATTAAGTATATACATTATACGATATATGCGAATATATATTTATACTGAATGTCACGCAGAGGAACATTTAGACATGTAAATAAACAGATAGACTTACATAGCTATTACTCAACTAGTCAAACTAATTAAGAACTTATCATAGTTCATATGATTGACAAACAAACACTAAATACCCTTTCTAACCGCTATGGCCTCAGGGCACACAAAAGAGGTTCCAAATATTGAATGAATCAGCAACAGGTTAAGACTTGGTTCTTGACAACGAAATGAGCAACAAACTAGTCAAAGTTAATCTATGCTACTTAGTCTTATTTCGTGATTTCTTATATAAATATAAATAAACAATTTCTGGAATTTACGTTGAGTATGCTGACTTCTATCTTCAGGTAAACAAATGTGTGACATCTAATATTCAGTGAATCACTTTGCCACATTCTTAATTCCTTTTTAGACATTCTGTAAATAAGTTTATTGTTTCTTATTTATTTATTTGCCGATGATGCAAAAGTCTAAATAAAAACGCAGACCTAATTTTCGTAAAGCCGGTTTACGCTGTGCAACTGTCGCTCATATTTAAATATGAATATATTTTATTATAATAATGCCGCTTTATTGAATTCCTTATGAGAAGTGAACTGAGATACAACAGAGTTCGTTTTGGAAATGTTTTGCACCGGTAAACGAAATATTACGTATACGCAAATGGCAAATAGATGTATTAATGTGTAACAAGATATGAACAAATAGCTCGAAACTTCAATGCAAATAACTAACTCAAACAGCCAAGTCGAAGCGCACTGAGAGCGCCGAGAGCCAGGTGAGCAACGGAAAATGTCAAATAAACAAAGTTGGCCCGGTGCCCGCCAGGTAAACACACTCGCAGTGCCCATCAAATGGCTCCAAAGCAAACAGCGCTCAATCACACACACAGGGCTCGAAGCCAAAGAAGAAGAAGAAGAAAAAGAAGAAGCAACAGCAGCAGTTGAAATAAGTGCGAAAGCTAAAGTAAAGTCAAAACCAGTGCAATACCAAGCGACTGGCCGATCGGAGCTGTCCACAGTCAGGTTTACCAGCAAATAAAGGAAAATAAACCACTTCAAGATGCAGATCAAGGCAGCGCTGATGCAGACGCTGCTGTTACTTCTGTTGCTTTCGCCGGCGGCGCTGCAGGCGGCTGTGGTGCCCCTCGAGCTGGACGAGACGAGCAATGCCATCGGAATGGATACGAAGGAGATTGGCTATCTGGAGCTGAAGCCGAATGGCACTTTGATCTTGGAGCATCCACAGAATCAGAGTGGCGGCGATATACAAAATTTCCTGCTATTACGCAGCGTATTGCAAGCCCTGAAGCTGCACTCAAACCAGGAGCACGCGAAACTCAACATCAAGATGTACGGCGATGGTGTGGAGCACAAGTTTCCGCCGCTGCTGGAGAGGATAATACAACGCATACAAACCTTTTTCTCCATCTATCGCCATACGGACACCAGTCATCCCGTGCGCAAAGATGAGGTAACCACTGTGGCGCCTCAAATTGTGGCAAGTACGGTGAAGGCAATAAAGCCACAGACAAAACCAACAAAACCAACGACRACGACAAAAAGAACTACAACAACAACAACAACCACAATCCTGCCACGAAAAGATGTTTGGATAACTGTGGGCGAGGACGAGTGATTGACATACATACAGAAATATATTTATATATACACATGCATATACAGCTAAGAGTTATTATATTTATTTATTTTTGTATTTATATATTCTGTCAATAAACCACTCAGCTCCACGAGTATCGTTGTAACTGTAACGTGAGAGAGGCGCCCACACTTTGCCCATAGCTCATGGCTGGGCACGTCTCTAAGCGCACTTAGTATGCGTCGCGCATGCAGCATGGAGCGCGATTTATGCTTAGCTCTGTGTATGTGTAGGTGTGTGTGTGTGAGTTTGTAATATGTGCAATATTTTTATGTTCAGGGGGAATTACGGGTACGCGTTTAGCCCATCTTGGCCAGTTGCATAATTATAGACGATATACATATTTATAGATATATATATATATACATATATGTATGTATAATTATATATAGGTTTGCAAATACAATATGTATTTAGGGTGGGGCTGGCATTACCGTGTTCTGCTTGTGTTTAGAAGTTTAATATTATAAAATGTATTACGTCAATATGTTAATATGTATGTCAAGCTTACCTTCCGCTGGCAGCTTCCTGAAAATAAATGTCTATATAATTTTGCAAACAATAATTATGATTCATGTTAATTTAATAATCACAATTGATGAAATATTAATATTTAAAATAAGTATTACAGTTACCTATCAACAATATTATAGTAAAGTTTATTATGATAAAGACCATCATTCAATTTATTATTATTATCATAATTAACATCGTAATATTGTGCTTATACGAAACATTTAAAATACATTATTACTAAATAAATACCAAGTCCCAAAGTAGAACACAGCTCCTCCCTCACTCCTCTGCACGAAACGACTGAACAAGTGCTGCTGCAGTCTTCGCATTTTATAGTCCATAGGATTTCACTCAAAAAAGAGCAAATGATGCTGCTCCAAATTCGATTCGACGTTCGCTCATGAGTAAGAAGAGGCCAACCAAAAATCGAGTGTGCAAATGATGGAGAACCCATTCCAAATGAAAGGGTAGACATCATCTCAGAGACTTGAACATGAGTATACGAGTATATGCAATATTTGTCATGTATGAGTGATCGGTCGATGATGGCTGTATAGATTATACGCTCTTCACTCATAAGACTTCTCTCTGCACTTAATATTTTAATCTCTCGACAATCCTTCATGCAAGTTTGTTTTCTCAGTCTTTGCTGGACTGTCTCTCTCTTCAACTTGGAATAAGAAATAAAAACTCTCTCCGTATTTTACATTTTACATTCACTTTTTTTATTGTTCTGTTTTACATTTTTCATTTGTTATGGTTATGAATATGAATGAATGAATGAATGATGATGAATGATGATTATGAACGTGTTCTAGATGTTGTTAGCTATGAATGAACGTATATGCATTTAGATGTTTGTTTTCATATATATTTTATTTTATTTGTATTATACTTTTGTTGTTGTTGTTGTTGSCTTTTATTAATTGTTGCTGAAAGTCGGAAATTGATTCGCTGTGACTGTGTTAGTAACTAAATGTATTAACCCACGGCCTGGCGCAGAGCCTAGGCACGGAACAGATCGAGTTGTAGAATACCAAAGTTGCCCATATAGAATATCTGTGTATGAGTGTGTGTATGTGTCTCTATGTGTGTGTGATGCGATTCGATGTGGTTTGATGCGATGTGAATTGATCTCATGGCTGTGGCTACCTAAGCTGCTGTTGCTGCTGCTGCTGGTGTCCCCTGTTCGATGGCGGCCTGCTGAGCCTCTGCTTGCTGTGCCTCCGCTTGGTGCTGGGCCTCAGCGGGGATGACAGCTGCATCGGGAAAAGCTGCGGCCTTGAGCTTTGAATCAGCGGGTATGGCAGCTGCATCGGGAAAAGCTGAGGCCTTGAGCAAAGGAATTTCTTCCTTGACTAAATATGCAGGAAATGCAAAATAAATATTGTATATTTTATGATTTAACTTTTAACTTTTAAATTTCTTTTCAAATTTCCTACTCACTTTCCTCCTTGATGAGCTCCTTCATGGTCTCCTTGAGGGGCTCCTTGATGGCCTCTTTGATGAGCTCCTGGTTGGTCTCCTTAATTAGCTCCTTTAAGCTACCCTCATCGGACTTCAGAATGGGTGCTTTGATCTCCTCGTTACTGGACTCCTTGCGAGCCTCCAAACTGGGTTCCTGGCTGGCCTCTTTCCTGGCTTCCTGGACGACTTCCTTTCTGGCTTCAGGTTGGGCTTCCTTCTTGATCTCTGGGTTGGCTTCCGGTATGACTTCCTTCTCGGCCTCCTTGGGGGCTTCCTTGACGGCTGGCTCGGCGAAGTCGGCTTTGGTTTCCTGAAGCGCGTCCTTAAGAGTTGGCTTAATATTTTCTTCACTTTGTTGCTCCACCTTGATAGCATTGCTCTCTTCCAACTGACGTGGCGCAATCTCTGCCTTCAATTCACTGGCCTCGACGGCTGCAGGAATGATGGTCTGTGCCAGCTGATCCAATGGCTGTTCCGATTGCTCTGGCTGCTTCTGCTCTTTGAGCAGTGGCTGAGGCTCTGGTTGGTCTGGCCATGCCTTCTCCTCAGTGGCCTGAATTGGTGCCTCATCGGTTTGAATGCTGCGTGCGCGTATAGCTGAGATGGGCCACGAGTAGACTGGGGTATGCACCACATCGACCACGGGCGTGTGATACACCTGAGGCAGACTGTAGAAGTGACGCGCCTCGGTGGCAGCCAGCAGCGGTTGGGTATTGGCCGGAGTTTCAATCAGTTCGATCTTCTCGCTCTTCAGCTTCTGCAACTCTTCGTTTTTGTTGCCCGGGCTGGGGAAGAAGCCGGGGAAAAAGCCAGCGCCGGCAGCAGCTGCTGATTCAGCAGCCTCGCCCAACTGTCCGCCTACGATCTCAACGCCCTGCTGCACCTGCTGCTGGATTTGATTGACACTCGGGAAGCCCTCAGTCTGCCTGGTCTCCTGTGCTGGACTGCGGCTGCTGGCACGGCCAGTGGACACGGCATCGCCTAGATTGGGCACCACAGAGGCTGCAGCTCCAGCTGGCACATAGACAATGGTCTCCTCATGATGAGGCCCCGAGACGCGCGCCACTGGGGACAAGCCGTGCACGTAGCGCACCGCTGGCTCCAGGTGCACCTGCGCCTGAGGCGTCACAATGACAATATGCTGGGCCGGCTCCACGACTTGCTGCAGTGGCTTCGCCTGGCTGCCCACTGCCAGCAGGCAGACAAGCGCAAAGATGAACATTATGCTAAGAGGGGGAGGGAAGAGCAAAGGCTTTAGCTACAGTTGTCTATGCCAGGCATTAGCTTGGTAGCTGCTGCTGCTGCCGCTGCTGCCAAACTGGTATTGCCCTGGCTAGCTATTTATAGTCGGCCAACCAAAGTCCATTCTAAATTTAAACATTATAATTGCATGTATGTGCCACAGGATGCGAACTATTAACCGGTTTGCGGTTTGATTGGCTCTTGGAAAAGCTCTGAAGCAGCCAATTCTGGTGTACACATAAAGTGTCCAATGTGCTCTCTGGCTGCAGTCGAGCAATCCACTCGAGCCATTCAGCTGCAATTGCCAGACCAAGTTCTTGGCCAACTCTTTTGATTGCAGCTCGGCTAATAACTGGTTTTTCGCTTTCCTGATCATATCTCTCCGAGGGGCATCAAATTCCCCCAAGTCTTATTACTCGCGCATATTCTATTTAAAGCCAACCCATCCCACCGTCTCTTCTTCCCTATCATTTGCGTGGCAATTGCAGCAACTGCAGCGTTTAGAACTTGAAAATGTTTTTAATAGTTCAGAGGTTTCTGTCAGCGCGTTGGGCCGCTTTTTTCTTTCCCCTTTAGCTCGACTTGATAGTGAAGGGAAAAATATTGCAACTACTAATTGAACTGGAAACTTAATTTGTGCATCGCTCGAGGAAAGAATGTCTGTTAGCAAGCAAGCTGAAACTGAGCAAACTGATTCAAACTGACTTAAGGCATTTATACTGAAGGAATTCGCAGACGTTTTCTGTCTTACTCTGCTCATATTAAATGGGGTGTATAGTGATCTAACGACAAATATTGTAGTACCCACTAGTTCCTCGAACTGAGAAATCTTGTCTTTATTAAGGGACAAGCAGATATTTCTTGTCTAAGAGGAAATATTTGATATATAATTTTTTAGTTTATTATATTTTAGATGAGTCTACATTGATGTTGAGTATGATAGTATTGCGATTATCAATACCTCAAGGGAAAATATGCGAAAGCATAGACTCTCTAGAGTCGTAAGCTACTATTTCAGGTTTTATTATCCATTCAGTGAATTTATTAGAAATACATAAGTTAAATCAATATATTGATTTTTTTTAAATATATATTAAACAAAATTTGTGATTAAATTTAACCAATTTTAAATAATAATCACACTTTAATGTATTAAAACTAGCTTTGAGTATATTTTTGGGTAGTTCACTGAATAGATATCTATTTAAAGCTTGATCTCTATAAAATGCATTTGGTTTATCAGAAAATTATATAAATAAAATAGCAAATAATCCTTATCAACATAAAATAAATATAAACAAGTCTTTATTACTAAGAAAAAAAGATTTCTAATATTTCAACAAAAACCTCTTTATAATACTGGATTTCTGATGTAAAGTATGTAAATTATTCAGTCAGAGATTTATTTAAATGGATATATATTTAAAATATTTAGTAGTTTACTTTTTAATACTAAGATGGGTTCATATTTAAGAAATTCCTTTAAGATTCCATTAGTCAATCTATTACCAATAGGCAAATTAAATTTTCTAGCAAAAAGACTTCAAATGATTATAATTGAATCGGTTGCATGATACTTGTTCATAAATTAACATATTTGATGCCTTCCAGAGAGAGATGTCTATCGCTAAGATAAACAACTCGTTCAGTTAACTTAATGACAAATATATAAAAAATGCCCTCATAAAGAGATCTTAACAACAAATTCAAGTCTAATTTTCGCTTTCCTATTTGACGCTTTGTCGCGCCTACTGAGCTTAATTCATCGGACATGGACTTTCTAAACGAGCTTAGGGCACGACATTAAACCACATTAGAGGCAATAACACAACAAAAATCTAGAGAGCTTACCTGATGGCAACTGCCGCTTCTGTACGAGAGGTTTGGTTCTTCGCGAGCAGCTCACTTTAATCCGGCACAAAAAACGGTTAACTTAGATGGCGAATGGTAACACAAGCGATGCTGCTTTGAGACTTGGCACAAATGTTGTGAGTGGTTTGGAGTTGGTGGTTGTGGCTGAGTGGCTCAGTCTTGACACGCCGACCACTTCAAGGAAACTGGTGGCCAATGCTGGCTGCCATGGGCCTTTTATAATGTGCTCGCTTGCCTAACTGACCTAGCGCAAGAACAAAGAGCTGCAATTGGTAGATGGCGGAGAAGAAGAAGTAGAAGAGGAAGAAGAAGAAGCAGCACAGCAAGCTGAAGCCCAAGCTGAAAAACAAGCTGCAACATTTGCAGCTTCCCGCAGGAATAGTGTGCGGTGGGAGTGGAAGGGGCAGTGGCAGGGGCAGGGGCAGGGGCGGAGGGAGTGGCATAGCCAAGATAGCCAAAAGGAGTACACGCAAAGCAGGCGGCAAATGACCAAAGTTGGCTAAGCTAAAGCGACAACAATAACAACAGCAACAAGTAAGAGTGTTTGTTACGAAAATGCCAGACTAGAAGATACCCTGTAGCAAATGTTTGCAAAAGGAATTACATTTAGAAATTTTATTACAATGAGATAATACTATCTTTATGTATCCCAAGGAGACAGCTCGATAATGATTCTACTATCATTTCTAATCAGTAATATACATACTACACGCCATCAGCCACGCCCCCTTTGCATCTTACATACAGTCGGAAAAAACCATTCAATCCGGTTCAAACATTTTCAATGGCTTGTTGAGCATAACAACAATAACAAGCACTCATACCACATACTCACACTCACACTCGCACTCGCATTCGCACTCACTATTCGTACTCGTTTTGCACTTGCACACAGAAGAGGGTTTTCTGGTTTGCAGGCAACAGCCAGCAGCAGCCGGCAGCTAGCAGCTAGCCAGGTTCTGGCCATGGCAGATGGTCAACGTAGATGTTGTTGTACGTGCTGCACGTATGTCGCTACGATTTGGTCTTGGTCTTCGTCTTGGTCTTCGCCTTGGTGTGCGCTTTTGGTCAAGCTGAGTTTGTTAAACCTGCATTGTAATAGAAGTCAAGCGCTGCAAGCGCATTGACAGCCACTCACGACGACCATCATGGGAGCTTTGGCCATGGCCATGGCCATGGCAATGGCAATGGCAATGGCTAGAAACTGGGAAACTGGTTCAGGTGCAAATTGAATACATTGTGCAGCGCATCCTCGCCTCGCCTCACCCCCACCTGGCCCATTGGCTAGATTTATTTTTATGCTGCCTGCACCGCCTGCTGGCGGAAAAGATTAATCAAGATATGCGCTTGCCAGCTCGTACTTATATCTTATATCAGCTCCTTCTCTGGCTGGGCTCCCTTATATATATCTTCTTTTCCTATTCCTTCCCTCTTTTTTCTTTTTTTTAGTAAAATTTATTTCGTTTTAAAATATAATCACAGCTTGCTGGTCTATTAGATATGCATCGCAGCTGTAGCCCCTGCTGGCAGGCAACAGAAAAAAGGTTTTAGATTTTAGCCAAAGTGTTGCCAAGATCAAAGGTTCAATGGCCGAATGAATTTGATACGCAAATCTTTTTCTCTTCTCTTTATTGGCAATTTTGATGTACATAGAAAATTTCATGTTTCATGCTCAGTGGCGAGAGGCTGCTCCTCGGCGTGTTCCTCTACTCGTGGTGCAGGCGTCGCTTGGGCGCTGCTCGTATGATTGGCTTTTGGGCCTGCTGCTCCTTGGATCTGGCTGCGTACTCCTCGGCAATGGCCACACGCCATTTCTCGACGAGCGCATTGGGTCGCTGCGGTGCGTCGCGCACGCGTGGAAAAGTGGACACGGCCACTGGGCCATCACTGTAGTCGTAATCGTCGTTTGATTGGGAATTGGACGTCTTGATGACGAGCTGGTTGCGTGATGGCAGCGTAATGCTGAACGCAGCCGCCTCCTCGGGCGTAACTCCAGCAATGGCCGTGGCTTTGGGTGAGGCTACAGCCAGGCCATTGCGGCCCGAGAGCGCAACGGCATTGGGCTTGGAGGAGGCAACGCCGCCCTCGCCGGCAATGGAGACCCCTAAAAGAGCAATTAGCATAAAGATTAGCTTAGCTTAACTAATAACCTAAGCTTAGCCAGACTTACCCACGGGCTTGGCTTCAGCCACAGCAGCATCCTTCTTGGGCGCTATGACAGCCACACTGTCGTTCACATCCTCGTAGGGATCCTCGGCGGGGGGCGGTAGAATGTCATCGGGCGACAACTGCTGTTCGGTCACCTCCTCCAGCTTATGGTCATCGATCTTCTGATCCGCTGGATTGTTGGCCTCCAGGCCCAGATTTGAGGGCTGCTTTTGCGGCATTACACCGAACAATTCCGGCTGCAGCAGCACACTGAAATCCTTGATCTGTCCATTCTGCTGCAGCAGAGCCAAGGCTGTAGCCGCTTGGCCCAGCTCCAGCAAACTGTTGGCATAGATCTTGTTGTCCTCCTCGCTGAAGGCGCCCTTCCGCTTGGCCAGCTCCTGTATGGCCACCAGACGAGCGGCTGCTTCCTGAATGCGATTGAAATTGCTGCCGCTAGCCGAGATGGAGGAGCCGGGGCTATCATTGGCTACTGCCGAGATGCTGGCTGCCGAAATGCTGATGGTGTCGTCTGCCTCCTTGGGGTGCGGCTGCTGACGCTGCAAAATGCTGCTGCGGATGCTGCCATCTTGCTGCGGTTGCAGCAGCAACACCTGACCACTCAAACCACCGTAGTAGGGCAGCTGATCCTGGTAGATCAGTGGACCGAATCTGGAGCCAGCCGATCTGTGTCTAAATTTTATAGAGTTCGTTAAAGTGCTATGGAAGTGAAGTGCGGCTTTTGCCTGTACAATTCTGCTTGTGATAGTGCAGGGATAAAGCGTGGATAAGGAGAAGCAATGGGGCAATAATTTCTACGGATGGTGAGCAAGCGACGACTACTCCTGAGGTAGAAAGCCAAATAGTTTACTACATCTTTATTTACAACTACAGAGAGCGAGAGAGAGATAGGATAGGAACATATGGATTTCTACACTAAGCTACATAGCTGGAGACAGATATGTCTCCAGTGGATCAGACTCCGCTTCAGTTAAACAAATCGATTTCCAGATCGGCCGCTGCATGCGCTTTACCACCCACGCCTGCAATGGCCACCGATTCCGGATTGAAGTACACATTGGTGGGCACGCCCTTCTTCAGCAGCGCCCTGGAGATGGGCGTAGAGATAGCGGTACCACCGTTGCCTACCACAGCCTTGGAGTGGGGCTCTAGTATGAGCGCCGCCTGCTTGCGTCCTTGTATGGCCTGTGCCTGCTCGGGATGATAGGGCAGGAAGTAGTTCGCAAATGGTATCTGGGGAAAGTTCTTTGCGCTGGTGCTGGTGCGTCCAGTGGCTTCTACTTTGACGGGTGGCCGTTTGCCGCTACCTTTGCGTAGCTTGGCAGCTGTTGCCTTCTTCGTCTGTGGTTTGATGGAGCGAGAACTACTGGACAATATATGCTTGCCCGGCACGGAGATAATCTCTTCGATCACATAGTCTGAATTGATGCGACTAACAGCGGCGCGTAAGCGAGTATCGCTTTTTAGATCACCAGCTGAGGTTTGTGGCTTCGCTCGCAGCTTTTGCAATGTCTCAATGGTGTCTTCGGCTGTTTCTTTTTCTTCTTCATCTTTTTTTATTGGAATATCGTCAGTGGTTTCAGACTTTGCTGTGCTGGTTGTTGTACTCGGCGTTGTTGCGGCTGCTATACCCACAGATGGCGCCACATAAGCGAATGGCAGACTATAGGCAGCATAATATGGTGAGTTTAACAGCAACAGATTACCATGTATGGTAGATTTAAGAGCGCCATATGGCGTTAGAGCTGCGAACTGTGTTGAACTTGTTGTTTCAGCTGCTTTGTCTACTGTAAGTTTCTCTGGCTGCGGTTGGGCAGCTCCTTTGATGGCGCCATAGGGCTTCAGGATATTGTCCATAGAAGCTGCAACTATCTTCTGTGCACTGACTGACTTTGTCGCAGCGGGTGTATCATAGTTCACCGGCGGCTGCAGTCGACTGTGCGCCGGCCACGTCTCAAAGCTTGTGGTCTGCCAGTATGTGCTCGCACTTGATTAGATGTTGGTTAGGATATTCGAATTGAGGAAAGGAATTTTCATAGGAAGAGTAAGAGAGTTGAGGATAGCCATTAGTCTCGTAATATATACAATATATACAGCTCGAATTGGGGCTTAATCTAAGATTTTGTTATAACTACATGCGAAGGCTTTGTGTGTGTGTGTGCGGTGTTAGTAGGCGTGGCAGCTATTTACATTTGATTACAGATGAAAGCAATGCACAAATTACAAATACAAACATTTATTACCAATACTTAGGCGCTATACAAAAATACTAACAGTCATTAGGTATAAAATCGAACATAGCTAAACGGCAGCCACAATTCCTAACTATCTGGCAGCCCTGTCGATCGATGAGCGTAATTGAACTAATTCGAAAATCAGGGCTGGTAACAGATTTCAGTTAAACAATCAAGCTACTGTAAGGCTTCAAATTCCTGCACTTCCTCCTGATCCTCATCTTCCATCGTCATGCCCGTTGGTGGTGCGTAGTAGACGGTGGGCCCTGTGGCCACCACCTTACCCTCGCGTGGAAAGCTTTTTGCATCCACATCTGTGCGCTGGAGAGCATCTTTCAGGTCCACATCAGCAGGTATGGAAATAACCTTAGCCCCAGGGCCAGCAATGGTTAAGCTGCGCGGGTGGGTCAGGGCATAGCCACCAGGGCCTACAATTGCAGTACCGCCACTACCTGCTGTTGCCACGCCTCCTGGCCCCGCAATGGCAATGCCGCCCTTGCGCACCTTCAGGCGTTGAATGATGATGCCGCCCTCTCGCAGAGCCTGCTTCTGAGTGCCCTGGTGAGCGGTGGCTACTGTACCAATGGTGTCCATTAGGTGGTGCTTCTTGTGTACAAAAAGATGCTTCTCTGTACCCGCGCTGGTATCCTGTTCGGCAGCCGTATTTTCCATTTGCTCAAGAGTATCAATGTCGCCATCGCCATCGCCGTCGCCGCCGCCCTCCCTCTCATCGTCCCACTTGTAATCATCCTGGCTATCCTGCAACATGTCGGAATTTTCTACAGCTCCGCTCTGCACCACAACTGGCTGTACAGCTGTTGTTCCTGTCGGCGCGATTGGCTGACGGAAGGGCATTTTGAAAATATTCTGAAAGGCGTTTTTTATGGCTGTCGATGTCTGGTTCTGCATCTCGGCCAGATTGACGCTGGGCACACGGAAGACATTCAAGCGATTGCGATTTGGCATCAGTCCGCCTGTGGGCGGCAATGTGGTCTGCTGAGCCACATTACTGTGGCTTGGGGCAGAGTTCACTTTGAGACTGGATGAGCTGGTCAGTATCTGTTGATTCTGATCTGCATCCTTGCTGCTGCCACGCAATGGCTTGGTGGTGCTGCCGCTAGTCCGCTTGCGGTTGCCATTCGCTTCAGGTGTAACAATGGCGGGCATGCGGGAAGGAGTGGACTGTGAATGCGCCTGTTGCTGTTGCTGGGATTGTGGCTGGGAGTGTGGCTGTTGCTGTGGCTTATGTATTGGCTTCTCACGCGAGTCGAAGCGTGATTCCTTGCTAGAGCTGGGCCCTTTGGTGGTGGTGGTGGAGGTAGTGGTGGTGGTGCTTGTCGCTGTTGGCTTGCCACGCTTGGGCGTCCCATCGTCATTTAAGGCCAGCTCGCGGGGCAAAAAGAACAAATGGTATTTGGGCGTTGTCTTGCCCTGCTTCTGGTTCTTCTCGTGCAGCATGGCCTTCGCCTTGCCATAAAAGCTGTCCACATCGCCAATTATCTTGTAGCCCTTGACACGATACTCGTGCGGCGCATGCTCTCGCAAATACTGCTCCTTGTTCAGCTTGTACAGATGCACCGGTATGACAAAGTGGGCGGGCAGCTGCTGTGCCTCCTGTGCTGAGCTTGGCTGAGGCAGCTGCACTTGATTGGGTCGGAAGTAGAGCGTCTCCCGTTGCTGCTGTTGCTTTTGCTCTTTCGACATTCCATCCACAACATTCCTCGTTAGCTTGACAGCTCTTATGGAGGGCTCCAGCAACGTTTGCCCTTGGCTGCCAGAGAAGTGATGCTTCTGCGCGTGGAAGGGCTGCTGGGCGGGCTTGGGAAAGAGATATTGGCTGGAGTCGAGTATGGGCGGCAGCTTTGGCTGATCGGGCTTCTTCTTCACGTAGCCAAAGGCCTCGTTCACCTTGGCGATCTGGTCGAGAATGCGCTTGGCCTCGTCCGCTTTGTCGGACGTGGACGGCCCCACATTCGGATCAAACTCCTCGGGAAATTTGATCAGCTTTTGCCTTTGAATTCTGCAAACGAAAGTTAGGTTTGTTTTTGGTCTCATCGTATTGGCATGATTAGTAAACTAATGCGTTTAGCAGGTGTTATATACGGATAATGAGTGGCTTGGTCACACAACTCTATAATGTTTTTGTTTTAGTCACAATACACAGACAGCTACTACTAGGAGCATTAAGATGACACTGTCACAGCTCAAGGCATGGCAAGGCGGGGCAAGGCAAAGGTTAATAGAAATCAATCGCTGAAAGAATTCGAGCTACTTACTCGACGGCATCCAGAGCTTGGCCAGCTGCCCAGGAGGCAAGCAAAAGTGTTGAGAACTGCAAAAGAGAAGTAAGAATTGAAATATTGATATACGAGGGTGGATTGAAGAGAGAGAGATAAATGAATAAGCTCATTATGCAACTGAATTATTATTCATTAATTTAAATGCTAATGACCTTTATAGTTGCGAGACTAATTTTAACAAATTCTCAAGTTAATGGCAGTTAAATAATGAAAATACACAATAAACAAAACCTATTATATTTCATATTGCCTTTGTCAACTCAAATACATATTTATATATATACATATGTATATATAGTGTATATAATAAATACTTATAATTATGCCGCGTGCCAGCTGTCAAGGTCTAAGAATGCGGTCAAGCACTTCATTTCATTTCATTTCTCCAGCATCTTTCGCTAAGCTTCAGCTGAAAAGTGAGAGCCAAGCCCATTTAGTCAAGCTATTTTCACAGCTTTTCGCTGCTCAAGAACCGAGCCCCGATTCAGTAGAACCATCAAGCCATGCTCGCCAAATGTTTGCTTTGCTCGCTTCTTTTGCAAAATCAATATTGACGCAATAGCATCCACCCAGTCAGCAACCAAACGACCAGCTGGTCCGTTAGCTTGTCATCGGACACGGCAACTTCATCTATCAAAAGCCGCAATGTCACTGAGCTTGGTGTGTGTCATTGACCCAGCTACAGATATTCTGCCTAAGCGTTTAACATTTTTGTTGTTGTTCCTGGTACCAAAAACGAGCTCTGGACCAGCTGGAAAGATATTTCAGAGTTATTTTGTATTCTGTATTTGCAAGCAATGCCTGCATTTAGCCACGACTTCGAACCAATATGTATTTGTGGTTGCTTTCTTTTGGCTCTGATTTATTTATTATACAGATTGTTTGCTGGAGTCGTTTGTTCTGGGCGTGTTTCAAAACTGGGTTAATGTTGCCCAAATACAGAAAGAAAATATTTCAAAATGCAAATCATTTTTAAGTAGTTCTCAGGTTTTCAGCTTAATTAGTAGTAACTGTTGCTGGTGCTGCTGCTGCAGCTTAAACAAGTCTTTCAAATGAAGATTAATTAGTGGCATCGACCCGTCCCTAAAGTTCCTTTGATTTATGTTGTGCAATCTATGGCGAGAGATAACTTTATAACTCCAATTTATGGCCCTCCATATAATAGAGTGTGGGGCGTTACAAAATATCTCTTTTATTGTTCCTCCAGCTCTCGCCAATTAATGGTCGAGAACTTTATTTCACTTGGCCATTTGTCATGGCCTCCTACGCACATGCCTAGCCTACGTTTGTAGCATATTGATTTTTCTTCACACATATATACATATATATATATACATATATGTATGTAAGAGGGTGTGGGGTATGCAGATATAATTAAAATATTTTATTTTTGGGCTTTTTATAAGGTTTATTAAATATGCCTTTTTGTTGTTGTTGTCTTTATATGATATGCGCGGCGGACGCTGACGCATTTCTACTTTTTTTAGGGCGTGTTTTCTGCTTCTTTTTGTTATATTTGTTGAATAGAAAATGAATAATGCAGCGCGTAATATGTAAGCTATAAAAAGTGTCTGCCATAAAGACGTGCTGATTAATTTTCACTTTTCATCTATAAGTTTTCTATAGGAAGATTCATATATCAAGGAATATATAAAGTGTTTCACTTAAATTAATAATTTTATTTGTTTTCAACATAGAATATGCTTAATGATTCTTTATTTTAATACTATACCTAATAACAATTCATTTATAATTATTTTTCAACACATTTAAAGGTTTGCATATATCACATTATAGTATACATACATATATAGTCAGTTTAACAAAAGTCTTCTAAACTGCTTTTTCAGTTTTTTGCCCTTTATTTCTCCATTTTTATTTTCAATTAGCAAATTGGTTTTCTGATGAGCTGCTGAGCCAGATATTTGCATATGGGCCAAAAGAAACTCAGACTGATTTCACAGCTAACTCAACTTGGTAGCAAAAAGAATCTTGGCAAGAAGAATCAGCCAGTGAAAGTTTAGAGCTGAGTGTAAACGCAAATTAAATACGAAAAAGGCACAGAAAGACTTAAGGCACGAACTTGCGCCAGTTAATGACTTCAGTGACGCTAATAAATGATTAATTGCGGTCACATATAGCACAGAAGACAACAGCAAAATTTAAACAGAATTAAACTAGTTTTTTTTTCACTCTATGTTGAAATTTAGTAAGCGTAATTTGGTCTCCGGTTTCGGCCATAAGTACTTACCACAATGAGACGCATTTTTGCGCTAAACAATTTTTGTAAATTTTTTCTTTTTTGTTTTTTTTTTTCTGTTGCTCGTTGTCAACGCCGGTGCGGGATAGCCTTGTGTTATATCCTTGAACTGCGAACAGAAACAAAAGGCGCAGTGTTATCAAGCGTAGAATCGAGCTTTAATCAGATACAGTAAACACATTCACACACACACTGAAGCTAAATGCCAACTCGGCCAAGTTGTTTAATGGTTTTTTGTTAAATATTTTTTTTTGTAAACGTTTCCTTAGCTGCTTCAAGGAGCACACGCACTTGGCTTCAAGCTTTCGTTCTTGAGCCAGAAAAAACTACACTTGACGCACCTTTAAGAACTCAAGCAGGCAACGACTGAAGATGAACTGAATTGTGCCTGGGCACAGCTTGGCTGTTTTATAACATTTCCATTAGCCATGCAAAGCGAACAGCAAAGAAATGTGTTCAACCTGACCATGGCCAGTCACAAGAGAGAACGAGAGAGAAAGAGAGAGAGAGAGCGCGAGTGTGTGCCAGTGAGTGAAAGAGCAAATGCTTAAGAGAAACTCGCTTAAAAAGGGGGCACGTACGCAAATGCCTTGGCTGCTTCTTATCAATGGGCGAGCATCTGTTGCTCTTTACTTGTGTCTGTCAGAGCCACCCAAAACATTGACATTCACAGCTTGAGATCATGATTAGGATCATGTTTGTTTTTCTATTAGATGAGCATAACTAAAGCACGTTTTTTTGCACAGTTTTTATGTCTGTGTGAACCGCTAACATCGCTGGCATCGCTGACAGCAAAGCACCAAGTGCTACTGTTCATTCGACATTTCGACATTGATTAATTAATTGGCTTGATTGACTGAGCAGCAGCATCATCATCATCATCATCGACGCACTTACGACTCAACTGGGCAGAACAAAACGAACGACTTAAGACGCGAACGTGTGGGTAGACAACGTGTAAAAGCTTAGCAGTGCCAATTGGCGTGACGAATGCTGATTGAAACAAGCAATAAGCCTAACAGCAAAAAAGAAAATAGAAATAAAAGACTTAAGACACGAACTCTATTATGGTTCAATGAATGAACTATTCTGCGAATTGTCAATATGTTAAAATTCTTATTCAAATTGAATAAGCATTGAATGTGGAACAGGCTTAGAAAGTTTGACTCTGCAATATTAGGAACTGTTTCTAAATATCCGATTGCGCCCTTAATCCATTCACAGTCTTATAAAATTACCACTGTACAGACGACAGTTTTATATATACCTTTATATATGCATATATATTTATAGAATTCCATCATGTTTGCAGCGCGCTATATAAACTTCACCACAGGCGATTGCCTTCTGAAGTCCTTTCAGACTATTTTTAGCGCATCTGCCATAGCATAAAGAGTATTGTTATATTGCAGTCATTTACAGTTATTTCAACTGTGACATATTGAAACAATCAATTCGAATTGATTGAAGATTTATGGTTTCAACTAGGAATGCAGCGACGCATACACAATGAACGACCAAGAAACCCAAAACACACACACAGTTTGAATGACATTAATTGAAAGTCGACAAATCGATGCAGCTGAAGCAGTTCAACCACCAGTAACAACTACAACAACAACAGCAACAACAATAATAATATGATAGGCCTGGCATGCGCCAAAGAGTTCAACTATATGCAATAACCTTGAAACCTATTTATATACAGCTAGCGGAACTGGGGCTGGCTTTGGCTGGACAGTTAAGTGCGACCTTCGCTGGGTGCATCAAGCAAGGAATCAAGAATCGCACAGACTCCAGCGTAGAAACCGTTGTTTAAGCCACATAACTGGATTTCTCTCGGTCTGTGGCTCTGCCTCTCTCTCAGGCGCAATGTGTTCTGTGCTCTATAATAAAAGAGTTAATACAGGGCATTACTGAATGCAATTATGCTAGCACAATTATGCAGCCACAGCGTAGCCTCAGCTCAGTTCCCAGGCCAAGGCAAAGCAGTCTCTATTCTCTTCTACTACTACAGCTGAGAACTTGAGTCTAAAAGTTTTCAATTCGTGTCAAAGTTGTTTTTATGTCGCTGTACTTAAACCTAAAATCCAGTCTAATAGAAAGTTGTCCAGACGCTCTTCTTCTTCACGAAAACATCTTTACTTCAATTTTAATAGTCAAAACAAAACATTTTATGGTCACAGTGAAACTTAGCCATGAAAAGCCAAAAAAAAAAGGTTGCTACAATCATTTGAATAATGTTGCTAAAAACCAAAATGAAAAAAAAAACCATCAACTTATTATTTATTAGCCAAAAATTTTAACGTTGTGTTGCTTTTTATTGTTATTATTTTTATGTCCTAAACTCATTGAAAATGGGTAAACAGGGTACATTACTTTGGTTAAACTGTATGTGACGGGTAGAAGGAGGCGTGACGAAGACATAAAGTATGATAAGAATGTCTGAAGATTTACGACTGAAGCCTGAATCAGATATTGGCTGTCTCCTCTTTCTCTTTCTCTTTATTGTGTTGTCTATATTCTAACGCAATAGAATCAACATATTTTGGTACACAAAATAAAGTACATAAAGTTGTCCCTTTGAATATCTTTCTAAATACTTCTATAACTATAAAGATACTCATTTTAAATGGGCATGTCATATTCTTTAGGGTATCTCCTAGCACTCTTATTTTTTATTTAATTTTGTTTTCGTTTTTATTGTCTTTTCTTCTTTTTTTTTTTTTGAGTACTTTGCACTGTTTTCTTATTTAGGCCACGCGGCTGTCACCAAGGCTTGCGTTCAATTCAAATTATTTGGCAAGTCGAGCACGCAGCCCATTTCAAATTTTCAACGCGCGCGTATTTCCTCCACATAAGAAATACCCAAAAAAAATTAAATAAATATATAAAAACCAAACAAAACTCAACTTTATTTGGTTGACAAATTCGGCAGCTGTTTAACAGTTTATATTTTGGGTGTCCAGCGGCAGCCACAGAAACAACTACTAACTGTTCCGCAAATCAATTAGGCATTATAAAATACATAAATCGTTTGGTTTATGGCCTCAAAGCACGCGCCACATTTGTTTGAATTCATTCATCATTCATAAGGCTTCTGTCATGCAGTCTCAGAGCATTTAGCTTCTGCCATAAATTCGCTAGACGACCTAAACTAAGACCTAATAAGTGAATCATATGATTATGTTTTTTCGTTTTTCGTGAGCAATGGGGATCACTATTTTCACAAGCTTCATATTATTTAGCCTTTTAAATTCATTTACCTTAACATCGAGTCTTGCAGCATTCAGCTTTTGTCATGCAGTCTGAGACCATTTTGCTTCTGCCAAATATTCGCTGAAGAATTATATGATTTCTGTGAATCATATGATTATGTTGTCTATTCGTAAGCAATGAAAATAAAAATTTCCACAAGCTTCATATTATTCAGTCCTTGGCGTG